AAAATGATTTATGGATAATTTTTATGTATAACTTTTTCATGTAGCTTTACATGTTATTTGATGATGTATTCTTTTCACTCTATTAAAATATGTGATATTATATATATATATCTACTTATTTAATTATTTGCAAAAATTATAACAAAAATTATACTATTATTCCATAGTGATTTCACTAAAGAGTCTATTGAGTGCCTTTGGACTCACCAGGTCATTATTTTTAGTTAGATTTAATAGATAGATTCACAAAAGCAACAAAGGTGGAAACTTTTCAAAAGGTTAGGGACTATAGTGGCACAAAATGGGGGTTAGGGATGAAAGTGTCATATATTAGAAAGGTTTCGGATAAAAATGAAGTTTACCCACATTTGACTTTTAGAAATATTAGTAGTGGGAAGTAATTTAAGTAAACCCGTAATTGATATCGTGTAAAGTAAATCCAATCAAAGGAGCGCTCCGTGCACTCCAGGTCTCCGCATCCCTTTGGTCGTTTTAATTTTTAAGTTTTATTTTTTAATTTTTTAAAAAATAGAAAATTTGACTCAGCAAATATTTCAAGTAAAAACAAAATGGCAAAATAATTTAGAAACAATTTTTTATATGATATTTGCTATTTAATGATTAATTTTTTTATTTAATTAAAACTCGTAATATTATATATATCATATATAAAAATTGTATAAAAATTATAAAAAAAATTGTTTTCATATTAGTGTATTATCCAAACAGAAAAATCTAAAAAATGAGCAAAAGAAAAATAAAAAACTAAATACTGACTTTGTGTCAAAATAATTGTCATTTTTTTATCTTGAGTTAAATTAATTTTTATTTTTTTATTTGTTAAGATAAATAAATATTTTTTCTATTTTAACTCTATCATTGGCCACTTATTTTAATTAATTATCTAATCATAAAAACTAAGTCTCTGTTAATATTTTATTTTTCTTTTAAGAGTATTATAAATCAATACAAATATTATCTTTAAAACTTTAATTCAAAAAAAGAAAGTGCTCCCTTCAATCAAATTTATCAGTT